TGTCAAAAAATATCTATAATTCTAAAAAACTAACAATAACTACATAATACAAACATCACAAACAAAATAAATTTAAGATACACGCTACTGATTCCGTGCTACTGCAACTTGTTTGTTTTTGTCGATATAAACGACGACAGTGACGCCACTGGCTTGATTGAGAGGTTGGACCCCAAAATGGCGGTGTGCGCGTAGATATGCACGTAGCGTTGCCGCCAAGACAAGTTAGCCTGCCGATTGTTTATTATGCCGTGGTAGAGCCTTATGGGACAATCGATCCCATTCTCACCAAATATCCCACAGTTTATTCAAAACGCTAACAAAATCTATGTTAATACAGGGGAAACCCATGTCTTAAAAATTCCCCGAAACGACCTCTTAATGACCCTCAAACACTTCTAGAGGAAGTTAACGGGGATTTAAACGTATCTTCCAGCTCAGAGGAAGGCGTACTATCAAAAATGTCGAAAAAACCGCGCTTAACGAATGCAACACACCCGGAAATGACCACCTTCACAACCTTGGACCTGATCGTAACAATATCCTTGCTGAAACCGGCTCAAAACTACAAATCAGTCAGGAAAATAGATGAACCCAAATGAAAATATAGGGAATCTAAAAAAAGTATGGAGAATCTGCGAAAAAATACAGAGAATTTGCCAAAAACGCTTGATAACTCCGCTATAAACTTCCAATACTTAGTCGAAGTGTAAGCGACAAAAAATCCGAAGATTACATGGACGCGGACGATAACACCCTCACTAACACTGATGTCAGTGTAACTAAGCCCTCTAAGGGGGTGAACTACCCTAATCTCCTGAGCACTAATCACCAATTTTCGGCCAGAGAGCAATCGTAATCCGAGCTTTCAATCCGCCTATGTGGCCGAATCAAGCCACCCCACCAAAGTCACCATTAGAAGGGTCGAAACGCCTGCAGGAATAAGAGCTAGGGCACTTGCTTTCGGAATTGGTACCGATTTTCAGCCTGTCTGAAACAGCCATGGTAATACAGGAACCATACGAAAAATTTTCCGATCCAAAATAAAAAGTATAGAGAATATCAAAAATGAGAAAATGCAGGTATGAAGACTAACCGATGGACGTGTGAACTGAATAGCCCGAATCTCGGTATAATTTCATCCCAGAATGCTAACTACCGCACAAGGGCTAACACAAACCCACAGGCAAAAAAACCTAATCAAAATGTTAGACAATCAAGAAATCAAAATTCACGTCAACGCCACCTATAGCCGTGTACAGGAGTCAATTCATAACTTTAACTTGGGAGAATATACCTCTCGGGCCTTAATTCATTTAGGAACTGGCTCTTACCTACCTCTCCGAGCAGTACCTTTGATTCACAAGTCAATAAACTACCCCAAAATATGGAAAGGTAGGAACCTCCAAGTCAGTCTAAACAAAATGAATTACCATTCGAGACTCCGAATACATTTGGCTTAAATTTTTAAAGATAAATCCGTGAAAAATCCAAACATACTCTTGTTACCACGACCAATAAATATAAAGTCCTCACAGACGACTCGGACTCTGAACTAGATGACGAAACAGGAAAAATCGTCAAAAGAAAGCGTAAAAACATTCCTATAGGTGGCATTCCTAATATCAAACCCGCTGAGAGACCAATCATCAATGAAATCGCCCCAGTCATAGCCAAAACCAAGCTTCCAGCTAAAGTAGCGCTGACCAACAACAATAAAAAAAAGTCACGATTCCCCCTATTGTAGTAGACGGAAAAACCATAAATTCAACCACGCTTATACAGGACTTAAGAGCAAAAATCAAAAGAGGGTTCAGTGTGAAACACACAAATAATACTACCATCCTCTTCGTAGACGGAAAGGAGGACCATCTACTTGTGTTACAAAGTGGCAAAGAAGAGAAAATAGCACATTACACTTACACAAATAACAAGTCTCATGCATTTGTCCTGATAGGCTTAACCGAGAGCACCAAAACCCAAGACATCGGGGACGATTTAGTGAATGAATACGACATTAAAATCAAGAACATTTTTAGAATGAGCACCAAAAATCGCCCGCTATTTCTAGTAGTCACATACCCTTCCCTGACACTGGATTATCTTAACAAAAACGCACGCAGAGTGCTTTACACCCGAGTAATATGGGAACTCAGAAAGTCGACCAAAGAGAAAATCCAGTGTCACAACTGTCAACTCTGGGGACACGCTATTACCAACTGCTGGAGGCCACCCCGCTGCCTCAAATGTTCAGGGGGCCATCATACGCGCACATGCACCAAAAGTCGTGACACAGCCGCCACTTGTGAAAATCTGGTTGTCTATTTTTTTTTTTGTAAAAACTCCAAAGGGTTCCCACAATTGTTACTTTATATTTCAACAGATCTCCGGCTAATTCGTAGCTGGTGTACCAATTGTCGCATATAAGGTTTCTGTTCTTCTCCTTTCATGCTTGAAGCAAGTGATGTGTAATATCGGCCGGAGTGTTTGAGTTTTGATAGGGGACTTCTGGTTGTTTACCGCAATATACCTCGAAGTTATAAACGTAAAATGTTTGCGCATCACATAAGACAAAAGCTTTCAACCCATATTTTGCGGGTTTACTTGAAATAAACTGCACAAAACTGCATCTTCCTCTAAAAGGTATTAACAGTTCGTCAATTGTTACCTCAGCTCACAATCAATAATTATTTTGACAGTTTTCTACAAATCTTTCCAAAATAACTCGAATAGCAGCCACTTTATCGGACTTTTTCCTCTCGGGCCTGGAAATTTTGTCATCAAATCTCAAAGTTTTAAGTAAGAATAAAAATAATAAACCGATAAAAGCAAAAAGTTCAGTTTTCGTAAGATCTTTGGCATGTCGTGATCGATCATAATTTGATCGCATTTTCAAAATTTCCACATTTGTACATTAAATAATATTTTGGATAATATCGTCAGTAAAAATAAGTTCGAATGCACTTTTTTCATCGGTGATATTTCTTGCATAAGCTCTTAGATAATGAAATATTTTTTCCTTTAGTTTTGCTATATTAACTTGCATTATGTGTTTTTCTCAATCGTGTTTTATTATCTTCAGCCAAATATCGTTCTTCTGCAGATTCAACATTACTTGAATTAGCTTTTTTCTCATCGCTTTTGCACTCTTCTTCTGATGTTGATCTGTGATCACTTTCTTTATTATATTCTTCATCTGATGTGTCCGATTTCTCATCAACTTCCTCTTCAGATTCTTCGTCAAACATTGGTTGCATCTCATCTTCAGTAAGATTTTTGGGATTTTTTATTTTTAATTTTTGTTTGATCCCTACAAAGAAGATAAAACATAATGCGATCTAGACATAGTAACATCAATAAATAAATATAAAATACAGAAAATTAAATTTTCTAAAAGGAAATCGGCAAACCCGCTATTAGATTAGAAATTTCAGAAAATCGCATGAACAGAAAGAGTTAGATTTGAATTACCTTACGATCTGTCCATCTTGGCTTTACTTTCCCTATATCACTTTACCTAATATACACTTTGTATATATTTTCAAGAATAATATATATTAAGATAAACGATAACTATTACAAAACAGCTCACATTACGCCAAAAAAATAAATAATACAATACATTTAAAGTTTACCTACATAATACACGCGTGGTGTATTTTAGACACCACTCGGAATTACCACAAAATAACGTAAACATAGATCTTCTCGTTACAACTGCTACAAAGATACTGTACTGACGGTGAATCTCGTTAAGACTACAATAAAAGATTAGGTGGGGCGAGCGGAAACACAATGATCTAAATTACAAAATTGTGGAGTTTTTAGCTTACAAAATACGCGGGCGCGTGTAGGTAAAAGTTAAAGATCAATATTTTTAGTGGTGTATGAAATACACCTCGTGTGTACTTATTTGCCATTGTTCAGTAGAGTTCGTATAAAGTTTAAGACGCGACAACGTCGCTTTTCATATTTTGTGATTTCTGTACACTCGGTACAAAAGTAGTTATTAATTAAGACTCGGTCGATAAAGATTTGATTATTGAAAACCGGCTATACAATTAATTCGGTATTTTTGATATTATAATTAATAGTGCATTTCCATTTTTCTTTCCTTAACCCTATCCCAAAGTGCCCATCAATAACTTTGGATACGACTATCAAGAATATTGGTAAGTAATTTTTATGGATTTATTTAGCCCATAAGGCAATTTTCCGTAACATTTTTGGTTCTTCGGCTCGGATAATAATAATTGTTGATTGTCGTATAATATGGGAATTCGGTTTATTTTTTGAGTGACTATTAATAATAAATTAATTGTTAATTTCGGAATTTCGGTTTTTTCGGTAACTCTAGTAGTTTTTTCAGCGGTTTCTTTTTACTATTTAATCGGTAAATAGTTTTGTAGTCACTTATTCGGTACAAATCGGTAGAAAACAAAAGGTATTTGTATTTGTTATGTTATTAACGTATTAATAGATATAAATTTCAGTTAATTTAAATAAGTATTAGAAAACGAAATTTCGACTGGTTAAAGATAAACGTTGTTTGTACTTTGAGTTTTTTTTTAGTTTATGGGTAGAGGTCGGTTTTCAGCTCTTAATCATCAAAATTTGAATGTTTGGTTTTTTGGTAACAAATGTGGATATGCTTTACCACTTATAAATAGAAAATAAATATTACCTAGTACTTATAAAAGTTTAACTAAGAAATAATTTAACAATAATATTTTGTAATATTTAAAAATGGCCGGTGCAAATGAAAGAAAACTGAAGGTTTTGACGGCCAAAAAAAAAGTCTTTATTTGGTTCTTTGCAACGTCTTTATGATTTATCTAAAAAAATTAACGATGCGACTAATCGAAAAAATTTGGAAATTTTGTATAGGTCTTTAGAAGAAACTCGACAAAAGTGATTGGAAACGGTAGAACAGGAAAATGAACAGAATTTAGTAGTTGATGAAAAGTTTGTTCCAAATTTTTCGATTTATCAAACAATAGATGACATATTATAATATTAAGGAAATTGCAGATAAATTGCCAACTGATACGTCCTCCAGATGCGGTGCGGGGGAGAGTGATGCAGGTCATAGTTTACCTAGACTTCCAAAGATTGAAATATTCGAATTTTCTGGAGATCTTCGGGACTGGGAAACTTTTTATTCAATTTTTAAAAGTTTAATTCACGATAATAAAGCTTTGTTTGATGTTGATAAGGTTTATTATTTAGTAGGTCGCCTCAAAGGCTCGGCTTTGGTGGTTTGCTCAGGGGTAGCACCAACTGGTGGTAATTATTCAATTATTTGGAATGCTCTGGTAGATAGATATCAAGATAAAAAGTCTTTAGCAAATAGTTACTTCAATCAAATTATGGATTTTAAACGTTTACAGGGTGAATCGTCCAAAAATCTTGAACTATTTTTAGAAAAATTTGATTCTGCGGTTAAAGCTTTAAAAAATTTAAAAGTAAATGATTTAACTGCTTTAATTTTAGTACATGTTGCTTTAATAAAGCTAGATCCAGAAACAATTAAAACTTTTGATATGTTAAAGAGAGGTTCAGATATACCCAAATATGAGGAATTGATTACTTTTGTTAAAGAACCGTCTAAGATATTATCTAATAGGAAGCCAATTGTTAGTAAGGTTAATTCTGATAATAAATTTAAATCCAAGTCATTTGTGGTTAGTAATAATTATTCAAAATTTTATAAATTTAGCTCTTGTCAATTTTGCAATAATAAAGGACATTATTTAGCGAGGTGTGAAAAATATAAGCGCTTAAGTCCTACTAAGAGGTATGAAGCGGTACGTGATAACAATTGGTGTCTTCTAATCACGGGGTTAGAGATTGTCCGGTTGATAGAACATGCGCAGAGTGTTCTAATGAACATCATACCTTATTACATTTAGGTAAAACAAATACAGTAGCAGGTGCAAAGCCTCAGATTGTTTACAATTTAGGAGAAACATCCTAAATAGATAAGGGTTCGGAATTACCTACAGTTGAAAATGATGGTAAAAATTTATGTACAACTTTATCGATACAAAATGAGGCTAATTTAGTAATATTACCAACGGTTGTAGTTAATGTTATTAATTGTTCGGTGAAAGGCGGTCAGGCTAGGTTTATTATTGACAGCGGAAGTCAAATTCATTTGTTTATCACACAAGCTTACAAAAGTTTGGATATTAAGATTTCGCAATTTTATTTATCAGTTGAAGGTTTGGGGAATAATTCTTAACTTGTTAAGGGGATTTTGAATTTAATAGTAGGTTCCCGGTATGACGAAAATAAAGTTTATTCATTGCGAGCACTCATAGTAGACAAAATTTCTGATAAATTACCTAAAGTTCAAGTTAAAAAAGAAAGTGTTTTTTTCTCAATTACGTGGTATTCAGTTGGCCGATGATAACTATCATCAACCAAGTGAGATTGATGGTATAATTGGAGTCGAACTATTTGGAGAAATAATGGAATCAGGTCGAGTGATTGGCTCAGATGGTACATCTTTGGCGACTCAAACTGTTTTTGGATACGTAGTTATGGGGAACGTTTCTGTTGGTAATAGATTTTCGCAACGACGTGTTCTGTTTACACTTTCAGATGGGACACCTATTGAACAATTGGTTAGTAAATTTTGGGAATTAGAACAAGTCCCTAAGAAACCGTTACCAGAACCAGAGGAAAAGGAATGTATTTTTTTTTTTAAACGTATAGTAGGGATTCGTCGGGGAGGTTTTCGGTAGTACTTCCTTTTAAAGGTTCTTCAAAGGGTTTGGATGATTCTAAACGGGTAGCAGTGTCTTGTTTTATAGATTTGGAACGAAAGTTTAATAAATCTATAGATCTTCGGAAAACGTACAATGAAATTATGCAGGATTTCATCGCTCAAGGCCATATGAGATTAGTGATAAATGAAAATAACCAGTTTCCATGTTATTTTATACCCCATCATGCAGTATACAAACCAGATAGTACCACTACCCCAGTTAGAGTGGTTTTGGATGCTAGTTGTCCTTCAGATTCTGATGTGTCCTTAAACGATTTGTTGTATATAGGACCAAAATATCAAACTGAGATATTTTCTTTAATAATAAATTTCAAGCTCTTCAAGATCGCTTTTACAGCGGATATTCGTCAGATGTACCGGCAGATAAAATTGATAGATGATCATTGTAGGTTCCAAAGAGTGTTATGGAGGTTTGACTCTTCGGAAGAAGTCAAAACTTACGAAGTCACTAGAGTGGCGTTTGAAGTAAAATCATCCCCATATTTAGCATTAAGGACTATTCGAAAATTAGTTGAAGAGGAGTGTCATAAATATTCTTTCTCATTAGAAGTTATACTAAGAGATTTGTTTATGGATGATTTAGTTTCGAGTGTTAGTAATGAGATAGAAGCAAAGCAGTTGTATGACGAGTCAATTAAAATGTTTAAAGCGGGAGGTTTCGATTTAACAAAATAGTCAACTAATTCTGAAATTCTACTTGATCAAATCCCATTAGATAAGCGGTTGGCTAAGGCGGTTGTATTTAAAACGGATACCAAAATTTTGGGATTGCAATGAAATCCTTTATTAGATACGTTGGGATTTAAGTTAGCGCTACCGGATTCTCTTTGTACAAAACGAGCAATATTGTCTGCAGTAAGTCGTTGTTACGATCCAATTGGTTTACTTGCACCGTTTATTCTTTTTTTAAAATTGTTGGTTAAGGAGTTATGGCGTTTGAATCTCGGATGGGATGAGAGTCCGCCGGAGTTAGTTGCGTCCAAGTGGTATAAAGTGCGTAATGAATGGTCAGACCGTAAAAATTTTGAAGTATAGCGGAGTTTGGAAGTAGAATCGGATATTCCAATTACGTTGTTAGCATTCGGAGATGCTTGTCAAGAAGGTTACGGAGCTGTGGTATATTTAAAGTTTATATTGGCCAACGGCGATCCAAAAGTTAATTTTTTTTGTGCTAAGTCCAAGGTTGTACCGATGAAGATAGTGGCAATTCATAGATTAGAATTGTGTGCAGCAGTTTTGTTGTCAGATCTTATAAGGCATGTTTATAACGTCTATTCGAAAAGGGTATTAATTTCTAAAATCTATGCGTTTTCAGACTCCACAACAGTAATTCAGTGGTTAGAGTCAACTCATCTTAAGGATATTTTTGTTGCAAATAGGGTGTAACATATTAAAGAACAGCTTCCTACTGCAAAATGGTGTCATATTGCAGGTGAAAATAATATTGCGGATTGTCTTAGTAGAGGATTAACCCCTTTTCTGTTATTAAAGAACCCTTATTGGATATCGGGTCCAACATGGCTTCAAACTAGAGAGGAAAATCGGCCAATTAGTTTTATAAGTTAGGTTTGTTAAACCAAGAGGTGTTGGTTGCTTCAGAAAATTTGGAAGATAATTCTTTGTTTAATCTTATAGTTGGAAGGTCTTGGTGGTTATCTATTCTGTGGACAATGGTGTATGTACTTAGATTTTGTAAATTACTATCATTTGCTAAAGTAATTTTAGCGATCGATTGGGAAAAGGCGGAACTTTTGTTAGTTAAAGTTGTTCAGAATAGATATTTCAATTCGGATATAAAATGTCTAGAAAACAGACTTCCTTGTTCATCATGGCTTAGGAAATTACAACCCTTTCTTCAAAACGGTTTATTGAGGGTGGGGGGAAGATTGTCCCAATCTTCCTTGAGTTTTGATAAACAACATCCTCTGATTCTTTCTCGGAAAGATCCTCTGGTTGATAGAATTGTGGATTATTATCATAGTTGTAACATGCATACCGGTCCTCATTTGATAGAAGCCATAATCAGGCAGAAATATTGGATATTGGCAGGTAGGAGCACAATTAAAAGTAGGATACACGCTTGTAATAGGTGTTTTAGATATAAACCTTCAGAACTTCACCCTCTTATGGCAGATCTACCATCTGCAAGAGTAAAATAAGCCAAAGTGTTTCTACATACGGGCATTGATTATTTTGGTCCTGTCAGTAAAACACTTGGGCGGAAACGGGGTGCTCAGGTCTATAAGGCATATGTGTGTCTTTTTGTCTGTATGGCACTTAAAGCAGTCCACTTGGAATTTATCAGTTCCCTATCGACTTCACATTTTTTACAGGCTTTTAAAAGAGTTTAACGCGATGCGGCCCATGTTCGGTTTTATACTCTGATCGGAGCACCAATTTTGTCGGTGCTAAAAAGGTTTTATCAGATTTGAATTAATTTAGATGAATATCAAGATGCTATAGGTACGGAAGTAGCCTATCAAGGTGTTACTTGGCGGTTAATTTCAGGAAACGCGCCGCACATGGGCGGGCTTTGAGAGAGTAACGTTAAAGCAGCAAAATCACATATTTTTAGAGTCATCGGTGATCAATTGTTAACATACGAAGAGTTTTCAACCCTTCTGACTCGTTGAGGGACTTTTGTATACTAGGCCCTTATGTCAGTTATCATCGGATCCGTTAGATCCTCAAGCTTTAACGACAGCTCGTTTTTAACTTGGCTCCATTGAATAGTTTGCACGCAGAAGATGTATCTCAAATTAATATTAATAGATTGGACCGACTTCAATTTATAGATCGGATGGTACAAGATTTTTGGAAAAGATGGCATCTTGAATATTTGAATACCCTTCAGGTACGAAAAAAATAAATTGAATCTAGAAATATAGAGATAAATACAGTAGTTGTTCTAATATAAGATAATGTACCTCCGTTACATTGGCCATTGGCGGTAGTATGAGATGTGCATCTAGGTAAAGATGGTATTGTACGTACCATCACCTTGAAAACAAGTAAGGGTTTCTTAGGCAAACCAGTGGTAAAGGTTTGTCCTTTGCCCACACACTAATTTAAAAACATTTATTTTTTTTTTATTATAAGAATATATAGTTTATTATTTGTGATTTAGCATTTTCTAGCGGGTTTTGGAAATTTTTTAGTTATATTTGGATTTTTGTTTATTTTGAAGTTAACAATTGGGTGCTGAAAATCCTATTTAATAAAGAATTGTATTTTTTAAAAACTATTTTCTGAATTAATGTTTTATGTTGTGGTTCTTGGACTTTATATATTGTAACATTTTTACCTAATTTTAAAGGTTTCTATAACTGTTTTTATTTTGTACTTGTTTTTAACAATTTACATCTGCCCTTTTAGACATTGGGCAGAAACCGGTAGCCTCCATCTATGTTTAATAAATAAATTTTATGCGATACTAGTTTTAAATTTTTATTTTCGTTTATTATATTTAAATTTCAAAAATAATACTTTTGTTAAAGACGCCAAGGTAACAGCATTACCGTTTAACTCTGCTATCATCAAAACTCGCCTTAACCATTCAAAATCATTAATTTTTAAGCGTACTTGACAACTCCACGCTGTATAATCGTTGAAATGAGAAAATACAAGATTTGGGGGAGTTCTGTTTCATTAGCGCTACGTATCTGTTGTTATTTTAAGCATGCCTCTATCTAATCAGACAAAAGAGCGACTCGTTAAGGTTTGAAAATGGTAGCGTCTTTGTTCTCTTCAAGCAAATTAACGAATGCAAATGTAATTCTTGTTATAAGATCGGTTTATAATTAAATTACCTTTTTTGTTTTTTCATTTGGTTAAAAGTCGTAAATGATAAAAACTGAGTAGATATTGTTTTATATATTTTATTTTTTAATTTAAAAATCACTGAAAATATATTGGTTTGCACTCCCCAAGGGTATGATTGATTTTTTTTCACTTCCTCATAAACTAGAAATAAAAATAGTCATACTCGTAATCCTCCAACTGAAATGTAACGTCTAGAAAAATATTTTTGTATGCTTATGTCCAGAAAACAGGACCAAACGAATACAGAAAAGGAAATGACCTGCGTGTAATGATGTACAAATGCGAAACATTTGCGAATTTCCCAGAGGCTAGTCTCTATTTTCTTTGCCGACCAAACCAGAATGTGTGGACCATAGGGCAAAGAGCCAACCAAACCTCTACCTTTATCAATCTTTCTCTCTCTTCTTCTCTCTGTCCATTATATATATATATACAGAGATGGCAAAAATAATTTAGTCGTACAATATAAAAATAAGTACAATAAAAAAAAAAATACAGAACCAGCTAAAACTGTGTTATAGCTATAGTTGATCAACTGTATAATGTTCTAAAACTGATAGAAATACCAAACAAAATTGTAAAGTTAGTTAAGTCTCTACTAATTAAAAAATATTTGTTTGCTTACTATTTGTAGTTTAATACAGTTGAGGGGGTGTAACGTGCATTATTAGCCGTTCAAATGACTAGAAAAAAATTCGAATCACCTTGTTTAAATATACAGAAAAAAGGCAAAACATTATTTATTTTTAATAAGCTTTCAAAGCCATTATTTTTGTCGTATACTATCTGTATATATTGTTAACCTGCAAATATCATTATTATAAGTTAATTCATCTTATCATTGGAAAGGAATATAGTATTTTGTTTTTATTAAAAATAGACAGAGTTTCGTTGCGAGTTTACTTTTATATTATGTAATATTACCTTACCCCTAGATAATTAATTATTAACGATGCCAATTTCATAGAATTTGCTTACTTCTTCAAATTAATTATTTTTATTTAATGTTATATTTTTGTCAGTTTCTTGGTTAGGTATTATTTTGAAAATTTTGACAGCTCGAGAACGATTTGACGTTAAATGTCAAGTGGACGATACACATAAACACACATACTTTGATTACTATAGGGTGCAAGAGAGAGGTACGACACGCCCAACATAGGGCGCGGCCATTTTGATTCCTATGCCTCAGTTTATAGCTAAAGACTCAGATCGCTCACTCTGCGTCGGCAATTCTGATCTCAATGTTTCAGTTTATACACTGCGCAACTCGAATAATACAATAAATGACGACCGTCTATAATAAAACAGCAGTCTTCTGCGTATCCTGAATTTGTATCCCTGGAGTGGATATTATTTTGGAACTTTCAACTGGTCCGAGTGAGCTAACTGATTCTTTAGCAATAAACTGTGACTCCAAAAATAATATTCACTGACACTGACTGCAGCAAGCAAATATCAAGTACGTTTTAATCATCCGCTTCTGCTTCCGGAATTGTCGGTTTAGCCGTTTTAACCTGTCAGATTAAAACAAGAAAACCGACAATTCCGAAGCAGAAGCGGATAATTAAAATGCACCTATTAAAAATATTGCGCCAAGATGTAGGCAACACGTAATAAGGGATCGAAATGGCGGAGTTTTCTATCTCCTTTTAAAAGGCACTCAGAAAGCTGCGCAGTGCGACCATTCTCCGTATAGTAAAAGAAAATCAAAGTATGTGCATAAACCACATACTTTGATTACTATACGGGGCAAGAGAGAGGTCCGACACGCCCAACATAGGGCGCGGCCATTTTGCTTCCTATGACACAGTTTACAGCTAAAGAATCAGATCGCTCACTCTGCGTCGGCACTTTTGATCTCAATGTTCCAGTTTATACACTGTGCAAATCGGATAATACATTATATGACAACCGCCTATAATATAATAGCAGTCTTCTGCGTATCCTGAATTTGTATCCCTTTAGTGGATGTTATTTTGGAACTTTCAACTTGTCCGAGTGAGCTAACTGAATCTTTAGCAATAAACTGTGACTTCAAAAATAATATTCACTGACACTGATAGCAGCAAGCAAAATATCAGGTGCGTTTTAATCATCCGCTTCTGCTTCCGAAATTGTCGGTTTAGTCGTTTTAACCTGTCAGATTAAAACAAGAAAACTGACAATTCCGAAGCAGAAACGGATGATTAAAACGCACCTATTAAAAATAATGCGCCAAGATGTAGGCAACACGTAATAAGGGTTCAAAATGGCGGAGTTTTCTATCTCCTTCTAAAAGGCACTCAGAAAGCTGCGCAGTGCGACCATTCTCCGTATAGTAAAAGAAAATCAAAGTATGTGGCATAAACACAATAGTTGACAGTGTCATGTGACCGTTCAGTCTGGTTCCGACTTCCAGGTAAATGAAACTTCACATTTAGCGACTCGAAGTTGCGATTCGCTATACGAGGTGCGTTTGTTTTATTTGTAAATATGAGATATGCGGTACTCGCTTAGTAGAATTAACGCGATCGGTTTGATATCTATTTTTTTAACACTTTCGTGGACATGAAGGATTTCGAGGGTGATGCCATATCGCCACTACCATATTTTTATAATCTTTAGAGATGGATTGGTGAAACAAGTTGCGATGGGTTTGTTATATTTTATGGTATTTTTTATATAAAAAAACAAAGGCGGCAATTGCCGCTTTCTCCCTATATATCACGCATTTTTATCATTAGGGACAAAGCGGCACATGACGCATATTCTTTCCATAAAAGAACTCTTTATTTTTAGTCTTCTAAAATTGGTATAACAATGTGATGAATTGCTTATCACTGCCTATCTGTATGGTGTAATTCAAAACGCGGCACAATACAGAGAGGTGGTTGGTCGGGACATGTTTTGCACATATATTTCGTTTCCTTCCGTTTGTTATTTTTCAAGCATTCCCAGCATCTTCTGTGAAATGATTTCTAAGGATCTTTTTGATTGGGAATATTACCTGGAAAATGCATATTTGGTAAATCTGGTACTGCATTATTTGTTCGTTTACGCTTCCCACCGCGCAAAGGTCCATCTTTTATCAGTTTCCTCCCATCATGGAAGTCAGAAGGTATACCTAGCAGTTCTTGCCTGTATTCAAGAAGTGTTAGTTTATTATCTTACTTCTTCAACACGTAATAAGTATTCCATATTGCAATATCTAGTAGATGAAACATCACCTTTTTGTACTATCTAATAGATTTACGGGGATATGAATAATAACTAGTCATCTGGTCACAACGATCAACTCCAGACATAAAATCGTTGTATCTCGCAATCTCCTCCGGCTTTTCTTCAATTTTTCCAAATCTATTACTAACATTTATCAGCTTTGGTTGATATTTTGTTGTTATGCAATGGATGTCTCGCTTATGACGCCACTTTGTAACATAAATGCTACCTTTTCGTTGACATATGTACATATTCACCTCTTTTAAGTTTCTTCTTTTAACAGCTTGCGGATTACCGCGCCTATTTGACCGTAGAGTGCCAGTAGTGTGCGTTTTTCTGCTTAAAAGTTTCTTGGAAAGACTGACGCTGTTGTAAAAGTTGTCCATCACTAAATGGTGACCACGGTCTAAGTAAGGCTCCATTAAAGAAAATACTAATGCTACTATTTTTGTTAATCCTGCGACATCTTCAGAATGGCCCTTATAAATTTTCATGTTCAACACGTAACCATCTGTTGTGCTGAGTTCGTAAAACTTTATACCGTATCTAGCTCGTTTGCCTTTGATGTACTGCCTAAAACTAAGGCGACCACGAAAAAGTAAAAGCGATGCATCTAGTGATAGCTCCTCTGATGAAAAGTGGGCATTTTGAAAATTATGCAGTAGTTTGTTTAGTAAAGGTGACACTTTATTAAATATGTCGGTGGGCTCAACTACCTGGGTATATGAGCACGAAAAACACCTCGAAATCTCTTTAAATCTCCTGCCTGAGAGCGTATAGTTAAAAACTGGAGAGTAGTATAAAGGATTCATGGAAAACACTTTCCTTATAGAAGGATATTTTATCTGACCTTGAAGAACACATATTCCAATAAATTGCTTCAACTCATTCATTGTAATCGGCTTTATATTAGAATACCTGCAGGACTTTCTTTGGAGGCGATTGGTATTCTATAAAATACGAGCGTAAGTGTTCCTTGAAAGGAGCACCATTTCCATGATTTCGTTATCTCAAAACTTTTTAAAACAGTCCAGCACCATTGGTGGATTATTGACAAGGTTTATACGGATAGCAGAGCCCGATTTGTCAAAGTCAAAATTGGGAATATCCGAAATTATATTGCACCACTCTTCTCCACTGTCCGTATCTTCTGGAGATCCACCGTCCGCATCTTCTGGAAATAAATTTTCCCGTTGAACATTTTCTTCATCCGCAGAAGAGTCGGCCTGGTCGGACGAATTTATAGAGTTATCTTCAGCTGGATACGTTGAGTCTGCCACGTCGTCATCGCTGCTAAATGGAACAAAGCTAGAAGTTTCAAATTCGTAGGAACTTACTTCCTACAACAGTCGCAGAAGCCTTGCTTCTTCTTTCGGATCCATATTCTATAAAGAAAAAGTTGACCTTGCACACAACAAATAAAATTACCCCAACATTTTGACCCCCCTGTAAAATACATTTGTTATTTTACGCTGTATGTTATACTGACTGATTTCAAAATATTTCAACACCATAAAACCCCATTTAGCTTAGGTAGAAAGATAAGCCAAAATAATATATTTTCGAACATCCACTATATAATGCAGTAGCCAGTTGGTTCTGCATATCAGGAAAAATATTCAGGACCAAAAAGATTCTTGAAATTATTATTGTCAGAATTTTGTTACAAAATACCCTCCCTACAAAATATTTATTCTATTGGGGCATTACTAATAAATAATGAATTATTTTATAGGATGCCCAGTATATAGAAACTAATTGATTAGGGCACCTTCTTAATGCTAAAGAGATTTTTTAGTTATTATATTCAGTTTTCAATAATTTTATACCTCAAAATAAATTGCTTACATAACCTCAAAATAAACATTTGGAATCGTTTTTATTTAAAACTGAAAGTATATCAGAAAATAAACCAAAAACTCACTTACCCCACAAAAATACTACTGAAGAACAACAAAACACCACTTAAAACAACGAAAAAGATCAGTTTCTAGGCTCAAACCATGGAGGTAGAAGGTAGGGAGATGCTGTCACATGTTTTAAGATGGGTTCACTTCCGCCATATTGGATTGACAAATCCATCAAACAGGTAATTTTGATTTTAATCGACGTTTATTTTATTTTTATGTCGTTTGCTAACTCTTGTGCTCAACGAAGTTGTAGCAACAGAACTGATGTTAATAAGAAGAAATTAAAGGGAATAACTTTCCACAAGTAAGTATACAACACAGTAAACAATGTGCAGGGCGGTATCTGGGAAATTGAAATATTAATCATTATTGTGAAACTGATCCGCAATACACTAGGAGAAAAAGGGTCACTTATTGATGACAATAATGAAATGGTTTCCTGGTTCTATTTGAAAGAACTTCATAAATTACAAGAAAACGAGTCGTTTTATTTAGCAAACAAATTAAGATCACAGCGTATTGGTTGTGGCAGACAAAAAATTAAAGTTAGGCTTGCAACTCATGTTTTCAGTGATAGTGTTGCAACCGCATTAGAGTTTTATAGATATGGGGGTTCCTCAGGGATCCGTATTGGGATCATTGATATTTCTTATATTTATAAATGATTTACCAACATACTTAAACGCAGATTGCATTGTTCTATATGCAGATGATGTGTCAGTGGCTTCTTGTGCGAATTCTCTAGAGGAACTTTCAAACAAATTGAATTTCCTCTATAACAAATTCAATGAGTGGTGTCTACAAAATCACCTAATATTAAATTCTAAGAAAACGGTACTGATGAAATTTAACATTACTAATAACATTGAGAATGTAATAACAGTGACAACAGATAATCTAAATATGACAATGTCTGAGTCTACAAAATTTCTGGGAACTTTTCTTGACAGCACCTTATCATTTCAATCGTGCATTGATTATATTAGTAAAAAGGTTAATAGTGGGTATTATGTTTTATTTCAACTAAAAAATATTTTAGGCAAACAACAACTTATAAATATATATTACGCAATGATATACTCTCATTTGTCATATAATATAATTGTGTGGGGGAAATTCATCATCCTCTAATAGGCTTTTCATTTTATAAAAAAGAGTTTTGAGATTAATTCTTGGTCTTAATAGAAGAATATCATGCAAATCATATTTCCAACAACTTAATATTTTAACACTGCCTTCTATTTACATTTATAAATGCATAATATATATTAGGAAAAAAATTAATGAATTTAGTAAAAATTTAGATAATCATAACTACCAAACCAGGCATGGTAATTTGTTACGAATTCCGAATCATAGAACAGCGTTCTATCAAAAATGTCCGTCATATGCTGGCATACAATTATATAATAAATTGCCCCAGTCAATAAAAGATGAACAAATTTTTAATTCTTTTAAGAAAAAACTTAAGGAATTCTTGTTAGAGAATTGTTTTTATAATGTAGATGAGTACTACAATTTTAACTAAATAAGTATGGCTCCACTCGGTCTGTGTAATATTATTTATTTTTATTTGTTACGTGATATATGCTCTGTTTATTTTATATATATATATATATTTTTTATGTTTACTTGCCTAAATTATATACATTCTTTGTAAAACACTTTGTAAAACTGACTTTTCCAATACCGTGTAGCAATGGTCTTACTGGAATAAAGATTTTTTTTTTTTTTTAAGGACGAAGTAAAAATTAGAGAATTTGCTGAAGCTGGTACAACAATTAGATTTATAAGAATGATGAACAATCTCTTTGATATATTAAATTCCAGAAATTTACTTCAGCTTCATTATAAAAAGCCTTTGTCTTTGAAAAATTTTGAATTTATATAGAATCTTTTTTCAATGAGATAGATAAGTATATAAGTGCCTTACAAACAAATGTAGGTGGCACTTTGTTTTTAGACACCAACAGACATACTGGATTCTTAGGTTTAAAAGTATGTATATCCAGTTTAAAACTTTTATTTAAAAGATTAATTTCTTCCAACACTCTACAGTTTTTACCAATGTATAAAATATCTCAAGACCACATAGAATTATTCTTTGGCTGCATTTACTCACATAGAGGCCACAACAATAACCCCACCGCCCGACAATTTCAGGCAGCTTATAAAAAAATATTAGTAAATGTCGAAGTACGTGAAAGTTTTCGTGGAAATTGTATCAACAAATCTTCAAGAGAGTACAGGGGTCTTGGTTTATTAAAAAATTACTAAAGTGTGCTAGATAATACTGAGCATGAGCATGATCATAATTATTTACCAAACCCTACGCTATCGGAATTTACGAAATATATTGTAACGTATATTGCTGGCTATATTGTATTCTCTTAAAAAAAAGGTTATTTGTGAGGAATGCGTAAATTCTTTATGTGCAGACCAGAAAGACCTACAAATATTTTCATTTATAGACAAAAAAAATTAAAAGAGCCTATAGTATCCCTCTGTGGATGGGATAGACGTTTGTCTGCAATGTGAAGAAATAATAAAAAGAGAATTGTTAGTTCAAATTATCATTTTATTTCTGTAGACTCTATTGTATCTTCAGTGTTAAAGTCATTTATAAATAAAAATAGATTTGCAAATTTGATAGCCCACAGTTTTGATCAGGATCCATTAGAATCATAGAGTATTGTTAATAACAGCTTCAGCTACCAAATACACAAACATTAGAATGTGTTACCTTATTAACAGTAAAATAAAAAAATGTGATAGCATAAGACATCACAATAATAAAATTGTAATGTTTAAGGGTCAATAAATATAATTTTTATATTGGATATTGATTTTGCCGTAATATATTTTCTATTAATACCTTAACAACTGATTATTTTATGTTAAACCGAAACTGATAAACCATGACATATCAAATAAAATTTGCGAAATTTTTAATTAGTTTTTTTAACTATGTAACATAAAATCTCCTTTTACTTGCACCTTAATAATTTCTTAAAACTTTTATTAAAACTGTTAAAAACTGTCCGTTTTATGACTTACAATTAATTAAAAAATCAAATTAGGGTTTGAGTTGCATTACCAATAGTCAGGCCCTGGCAGAACGGCCATATTGGATTGACTGTCACCACGACTAGTGATACCGTTTTAAATGTTTGAAAAAGATGCTCATAGCGTCTCCCTATCTTCTACCTCCATAGCTCAAACGAACACCCAACACCTGTGCTTACAACTAGAATATTCGATGTAGTAAAATTTTAAGAGAGGACATTTCACGATATATTTTGATTTTTGCTGGGACCGCACGCCTTGTTGCATATAAGTTACTATGTACTAAGGCGCGGCAATTCACGCATTGGCTTCTGTGGCGTCTAAAGATTGGACGGCATATCTCGCTGTGACCCTGCACATAGCGCGACATATGCCGCTTTGTCCGCGAACGTGTTAATAACAATAGTAAGAATATTGTACATAGATATAGTTTGTAGGGTAACTTTTGAAAATAATAAAGATATATACTGTTAAATTCTTAAGGATGAATTTCTGAATCCACTCAGAGTTTTTAAAGCGGACGAGATTACATGTGGTGGTTAAAATACCATTGTATATTATAAAACTATTTAAATAAGTCAAATATACTTGTGTAATTAAACCTACCTATTACTGATGCGTCAGTAGCCCTAAGTCAGGAACACTTACTCCAGGTAGTGGATACGCAGTCAGTTTCTTCAGTGGTAATAATTAAACCCATTCTATGAGAAATATATTGATCTTTCGTTAACAATCTCCAACCATAAATAAAACTCTAATTATATGCTCACTGTCAGATTTATTATAAAATATGGAATATTAAGATAAATTTAAATAGACATATGTTGTATGATAAACCATAATTTCCCAAGGAATTATTTTAAAATATCCATAATAAAAAATAAATGCTTAGTTTTTACCTAGCAGGCATACGCATTAAAATTAGAAAACATAATACATTATTTGTTACATATCAAAGAATATTATTAACAAGATCCTAGACGTGGACCTGGTTCTAATCAGATTTATATTTAACTTTAAAAATCAAAGAATATGTTTCCCACAAGTAAAGAAGTATTAAATTATCAATAAATAATCTCACCAAATTAAGGGTTCTTTTACAGTGATTTATTAAAACACCATTGCCACAAAAAAAGAGCTTTCCCTCCGTTCCAATGGCTGGAAACTACGAGGTGGTCCAATCTCCACATCCATTGCTAGGAGACGATCCGAGACAAACTCGACGTGAAAATCTTGTAAATAATTCAGCCTTTTAACTGCTATAAGAGTTCCCAATCGCCTAAAGCTCTCGGCTTATTCACCAACACGTGTGCACGATGGGCTTTATATCCCACAGAAACTCTGGAATTAAATATCCTATGTGAACCTAGATCATTTTCTACTAGTGATATTCTTTTGAAAGGTTTATTGATCAAGAAAAGGTTCTATTAAATGTTGATTTGTTCGTAACTTACCCCTCTGATAGGGAGCTCCTTATTTTATAAAATGGCGGACGACCATGTAAAAAAAAACCACGCCGGTGTTAAGTCTTAACACATACTGGATTTTGCTTGAAAGATACCATTCAATCTGCAACTCAATATCACTACTTCCTGTCGAAGGTTTTAAAATCACATACTTATATCAGTGAATATATTTCATGTTTTAAAGTTTGTAAATAAAACTGATAACAATAAACCGATCGGTACTGGTGCCAAACCAGAAAAGAAAGGACTTTTTCCAGTTCGTGTCTTCGCAGAATATATTTAATGTGTCGAATCAGTGACTACTTCCAACTTCTGTCGTT